TCAGAAAAGGGATTTCTACTTCCTTGCCTCCAATTCATTACTTTTTTTTTTTGCCATATTGACTTCATATATCTCTCTTCATTAAAAATATGTGTGATTTGTTACAGAGAATGCCACCCTCACCCCCACCCCATCCACCATCGGCCCTCTATAGCAAAGGCTGCTTTCTGTGATTCTGTAGTTACTGCAGACAGATGCGTCCACAAATGGCTTAGACTGTTATTTTGTTTTTTGAAATTTTGCAAGAAGATGAGCGTAACATGTGATAAGTTTTATGTGTATTTTTCGTTCAACTTTAAACTCGTCAGTACGTGCACATGGAGTTCATCTGGATAGCTCTATAGAATTGTGTTGTGTGAATACCCCACTCTGCAGCTGTTCCCCTCCTTGGGATGATTTGTTTCTGCTTCCTCTCTCCTGCATGCAGGGCTGCAGGGGAATGTGCCTCAAAGCACACATCAGCTCTACTTGGTGTTGCCACATCGCTCCCCAGAGGTGCCATAGCTTCACCTTCCCTCGGGACTGTGTGAGAGTTCTCAGTTCCTTCCATCCTTAGCAAAACCTCACACCAGAATCCCAGTAGTTTGGGAGTCAGAGACAGGAGGATCGCTTGAGCCAAGGAGTTCAAGCTTACCTGGGCAACATGGCAACACCCCATTCTTCACAAAATGGGAATAAAAAAAAAAAAGAGATGAAACTGAATGATAGGAGACCTTTACATTTTTGCCAGTTGTTACTGTATTGAAGATTGCTCATTTTAGATTTCAGTTCCCTAAAAACAAGTGAACATAGATATCTTTTCATGAATTTATTAGCCATTTGAGTTTTCTCTTCTGAAATTACCTTTTCATATGCTTTTAAAACTGGGTTATCTTTTTCTTACACATTTCTACAGTTTCTTGATATGTTCTGGATGCTTTTGTTGGCTATATGAATTCTGAGACCTTCTTCAGGCCTCTTACTCGTGTTTCCACTTCACTGATGGTAGCTTTTGGCATACTATAGCTTTTACATTGTAAAGCAGACCAATGTGTGTTTTCTTTTCTAGTTTGTGCCTTATGTTTTTTATTTTAAAATATTTTGCCACCCCAGTGCCCAAAAAGATATTCCTTCTGTATTTTGTGCAGAAAGATTTACAGTTTTGTGAACTCTATTTGAGCACTTACTCCATTGCAAGTTTCTGTTTGGTGTCAGGAAGGTCCTGTTCTGTCTCTTCCTTGGATGTAGCATGTGTGCCCCTTTCCTCCCAGTCTAACCATGTCTGCTGAATACCAGGTGCCCTTACACAGAGGAGCCTATTTCTAGGCTCTTGTTCTTTTGATCTATTTAAATAACTCTAGATAAAGACCATGCTGTTTTAGTTAGCCAAACTTCATAGTATGTCTTAAAATCTTGTAGGATTTATGCTTCTTTAAAAATTGCTTGGCTTTTCTGGATTTTTTATTTCTTTGTTTTCTTAACTCTTTTTATTGTGATACACAACACAAACTGTAGCTGTCACGAAGCTGTGCAAATCACTGTAAAGCAAATATACCCATAATCCACCATGCAGACCGTGCCTGGCCAGCCCCGCAGCCCACGGTGTTCCCTTCCTTCCCACCTCTCTTTCTCCTTCCCATCTCCCTCCTGTGACCCCTTTCCCTTCCTTCTCCCTCCCTTCTGTGACCCCTTCTGGCACACATAGTCATCATCTTTGCACTTTGCTGTATTGTTTTACTGTTTAGTGTGTGGTTTAGATTCATCCATTCACAGAAGTGGAATCATGTTTTCAAGTTTGGGGTCCGGTTTATTTCTCTTAACATAATGTTTTTCAAATGCAAACCTTAAATATTCGGCATGAACTTGAGGACTGACATTTACATTCCAACAAAACACCCTGTTAAGATTTTATTTAGAATGATATTTAATTTATGTATTAATTTGATGAAAATTGGTATCTTAACAGGTTTGCATCTTCTTATTCATGGAAGTGGGATCTTTATTATCACTAGGATTTTTTTTAATCCCTTATTATCCTTTTTCATTTTTTTCTGTTAAGGCCTTATATATATATATGTACATATTTTGGATTTATTCCCAAGTATCTTATAGTTGTTTTTTTTTGCTGTTACTTGCCAAGAGTTTATTTTTTCTTTCCAAACAGTCTGTATTTTGTCCCTAGTTGCTTTTAAGGATTTCTTTCTTTTGTTTCACCACAGTGGAGCTAGATGTAAATTTCATTTTATCATCCTTTTAAAGACTCTTCCACTTTCATTCTGAGGATTTATATTCTTTACTAATTCTAGAAAACTCTCAGATATTTATCTCTTTAAATGTAATATCCTTTCCCTCTTATTTTCTCTGTCGTCTTCTGGAACCCCTATGCTGATAGCCGCATGAAATGCACGCAGTCTGCCTGTACAGAGGCCTGGGCCTTCCCTACCCACATAGACCCTCCTTGCTTCATGCCCTGCAGAGCTTTTCCCTTTTCTCTGTGTAGGAGAGAAAGCGTTCATGGAGCATGGGGATGAATTGGGGTGCCTCTAACCCAGACTTAAGTAACTCTCTACCTCTCTCCTCCTTCCACATGGCCTAGACCCTCTAGTCCAGGAGTGTCCAGTCTTTTGACTCCTCTGTGACACATTGGAAGAAGAATTATCTTGGGCCTCACATAATATACACTAACACTTAACAATAGCTGATGAGCTTAAAAAAAATAGCAAAAAAAATCTCATAACTTTTTTTTTTTTTGAGACAGAGTCTCACTCTGTCACTCAGACTGGAGTGCAGTGGCATGATCTTGACTCACTGTAACCTCCGCCTCCCAGGTCCAAGCGATTCTTGGGTCTTCAGCCTCCTGAGTAGCTGGGACTAGAGGCGTGTGCCACCATGCCGGCTAATTTTTGTGTTTTTAGTAGAGAAGGGTTTCACCATGTTGACCAGGCTGGTCTCAAACTCCAGACCTCATTGTGATCCACCCACCTTGGCCTCCCAAAGGGCAGGGATTACAGGTATGAGCCACTGCACCTGACCTCATAATGTTTTAAGAAAGTTTACAGATTTGTGTTGGACCACATTCAAAGCTGTCCTGGGCCACATGTGGCCTGCAGGCGTCAGGTTGGACAAGCTTGCTCTAGTCCCTGTGCTTGTCTGAGTCCCACAGAATTCTCTGCAGGCATTTGGACTTAACGCTGCTTACATGCAGAGTGGTTGGTAATCACTCAGTAAGCTTTCCATTTTGTTAGCATGGCTCAGGATTACAGTTTCTGGTTTCAGTGACCTTGGAGTTTGTTTCTGTTTCCATTTTCTTTGTCGTCTTTGTACTGTTTTTGAGAGAAGAGGCACAGAATTTATTTGAAACCAGAAGTTGTCCACCATTCACTCTTGAGCCTACTACAGTCTGTCTTTTGTACCAAAAGTGTTCTTATAAAAACCTTGTTTATCAAACACCTCCATTTGCAACATCCAGTGGTTAGTTCTATCTTACTTATCAGTTGCATTAGATACAGCTGACCAACCCTATCTTAAAACACTTCTCAGCTTCAGTAATACTAAACTCCTGTGTTTTCCTTCCCTTCACTGGCAGCCCCTTAGATTTCCTTACTGCATTTCCAGCTCTGTCCATCCACAGAATATTTGTGCACTCCTGGGTTTGGTCCTTGGTCCTGTTCTCTCTTCTGCTGTGTCTCCCGCATCCCATGTTATCTCTTCTAGTCCCATTGCCGTAAATGCCTTATCATATCCAGTGACTCCAAAATCCTTATCTCCACCTTTTCCTTGAGTTCTGGAATTGCATAGCCACCTGCCCATTCAGTAGCCCCCCAAAATATCTAATAGACACTCCCAAGCTCGGGCTGCGCAGCATCTGCTCTTTCTCTGCCTGAAATGTTCTTTCCCCATTCCGTCAAATCACAGGTACCCCATCATCCTTAAGATCTTCGTTCAAGTATCGCTTTCTCCAAGGGCTCCCCTGACATCCCCCACCACCCCCAGAGTAGGTTTGTGCTCCAAGTCACTTTATTTCCTTCCCAGAACTTGCCAGAAATAGTTGTATGTGTTGACTTGATTACTGCCTGTTCTTCACATCACATGGCCTGCTGCCATAAGCCCTGTGAGAGTGGGACCTTGCTTATCTTGTTCTCTGCTGTATTCTGAGTTCCCAGAATATGGTATGTAGCAGAGTCTCAAAGAATTCTTGCCTGATTCATTAATTTAAATTTTATTATTAAAACATTGAAGTATACTCTTCTCATATTAGAAAGTTGTCAAATATGTTCAATTTGATCTTCTCGTCCCAAGAATCAAATTCACATCAAGATTTTTTTTTTAAACAAAGGAATAGCCATAGTCATTTTAGCTAGAAAATCATAGGAAGTCTTGAGACTTCTGTAACCATACATTATAAATTACCTTCAAGATAAAGAATAGGTTGGTTTATAAATGGAATGGTTCATTGCTAACTAATATTGGTGAGGATTTTAAATATCTAGAAAAATCAGTACTTGAAAAACTGATTAAAACACTATGTAAATAAAAACCAAGATTCTGAATTGTGTTTATTCTCTGATAAATTTGTCACATGACTGGGTCAGCTGAGATATTGCAATTGTTTTCTGTTGGTGTCTCTGTGATGGCCATCTGCCAGCAAAAGTAACCACAGAGTCAGTATAGTGTGAAAGTGTTTCAATAATCAGATCTTTTACAGCTTTTAAAAAATGAAGATAGTATCCTGACAATCTTTTACCAGAACTTTGTATACTAAATGATTAGAATTTTGCTAGCTCTTCTAATTCAATAAAAACAATTATGTTTTACTGAGGAAATTCAGTTTTGTGCTGATTTGTACTGCTTAGTGTTCTGCAGAGTGGAGGAGGATTTTGCTTATCACCCAACACTGCTATGACTAAGAAAAATACCATGTACAGTGTTTGGAGGCTGCTAATTTTTGTGTCATATATATATATATTTTTTTTTAATGATGTTACATTTAAACGATCACACTGGATTTTTTTTCCTCTTAGATTTCCGGTCTGTGCTACGACAGCAAAATATTCCAGGTGCATCAGGTGCTCTGCATCCCCAGCTGGATGGCAAAATTCTTTTCTTGGACACTTGAACCCATCTTCTCTTCTTCAGAACCTACCAGCGAAGCCAGAATTGGGATGGGAGCCACGCTGGACATCCAGAGACAGCAGAGGATGGAGCTGCTGGATCGGCAGCTGATGTTCTCTCAGTTTGCACAAGGGAGGCGACAGAGACAGCAGCAGGTAAAAGTGCTAATAATTACTAAAAACCTAGAAATTTTTCAGTGGCCCAAGCAAATCTTTCCTCTGTGATTGCATGTGAGATAGGGACTACATTTTATTCCAGTGCCTTGCAAGTGGATTTTGATGTTTCCAAATAGAATGTAGATCTCTGTTAGTGGCTATTCTTAGTTGTTTAAAAAGGTTAAAAAAAAAAAATTGCAGCTGAAAGATTGGTCAAACTGAACATTCCTGTTCCAGCTATATAAGATAAGCATTACTTCTTAGAGAAACACCAACCTAGTTAACAAGCTGTACTATTTATCTGTTTTCATAATCTTGTAAAAGCCACAGTGTCTTCCTGTTAAAATGCTAATCATATGCTATGGAGTGAAGTACAAATGTAAAACTTCTTGATTTTCCTTAGTTGAAATGAAGAGAATATGGAGGTAAGCAGATTTTCAATGGAACAGCCAAGGAGTAGATAAAAATAATGCTGTGTTTTCTGAACCTTGCTATGAATAATCAGGAACTATTGCACATTTATCTACTAATACTGCTGCATCCAAACAATCTGATACTACACTTGTCTACCACAAGCAGCGAGGGAAGGAGGGTTCCTGCACGTCAGGCTAAAACCTCAGGCGTGATCTTTCTTGGACACTTCTGTGAGCCAGCCCACAGGGCTCCCATTTCTCGCCTCCACCTTCTTTACCCCTGGGGTAAACCATACAATTATCTCTGCCATCTCTGTGTCTCCCACTAGCATTGGATGCAAGAGGTAGGCCTTCAGATCTCACAGTGGTTTGGAGAAGTGAAATCAGGTTTGAGCTAATTAGAGTCACATTGGAGATGCAGGTCCCAGAGTTTATATCAGGATGGGAAGAAGGGGGCACCTTATCAGGGGCAGAGTCTACAAGAGAAAGTTGTGCTTGAATTTGAATGACTCTGGAACATGCCATAAAGATGCCCATGGTATATTTAAAGCTGAATGATGGACATCTCTGTCTTGGAAATATGGAAGCTACATATGTAGGTGATTGAGTCACCTCTGTATGGATGAGAGCTGAAAGCAAAGAACTAATGAGTTCTGCAAGAGAAGAACTACATCCAAGAAGAACCCAGGCTACAGATGAAGCCTTGTATTTAGCAGGAGGTAGATCCTGCAAAGAAACTCAAAGGTACGAGAACTCAGAATGATCCAAGTCAGAAAACCTGAGCAGTGGTTGAGTATAGAGGTAGAGGCACAGAGCTTATGAGGGAGAGAAAGAAGTAGGGGATGCTTCTGATGTTTCTGGCTTAGGTAATCTTAGATAGATGACTGATGGTTCCAATTCACCAGTATCAGAAGAGCAGATTTGGGGGAAATAAGTTGTCTGAGGGACCTTTGAAATACCTGGGAGGAGATTCCCCATTGGAGAACTTTGAATTTGTGTTCATGAGTAAACCAGAGAAGTTGCGTTTCTCAGACTGGCCTCCTCAGGAAGACTTTTATACATGGAGTTTATGAGAGAACACTGTCAGCATCAGTGTCTATGGGGGCAGGCTGGCGAAGGCAGCAAGATGGGACAGAGGAAGCAGCTGCAGTTTCAACAAAAACCTCACTGGTCTCATAGAGTGCAGTGGAGCTGAAAGAGCCCTTCTGAGTTGTCTCAAAATGGGGACTGGTCCTGTTGGATAAGTCTCACACATATGATCTCATTTAACCTTAATAACCTTTCTAAAGGCCCTACCTTTAAATACAGTCACATTATAGGGTTAGGGCTACAGTGTGTGAATTTGGGGCAGGGGAAAGGGTTGGGGGACAATGTGTTCCATAACACTGCTCCCCTCAGATTGGAAAGGGCCCAGTACTGTCTGTTGGCGCTGAGTGACTGCTCTGCTTGCAGATGTTGGTTATCAGGTGCATGGAACCTCTGTGGATGCCAGGTTGGATGCTCCACAGTCGCAGGAGATAGGTCAGCCTAGATGAGGGGGACCCACACATACCCCCATGCCACCATCATGGCCATCCGTTCATGTGCTAGCACTGGGGTATCTGGTAATGGAGCCACATTCATTCTGCCCATCTTCCATTTGGTGCCTTTTCTGTGGTGGATGCCCATGGTGGGCACTACCTGCAAAACATCTGATGCTGTTCCTTTAGCTGAATCCTCCTCGTTCTCTTCCTTCCAGTCCCCTGACCAGCCAACCAGGTCATCTTCCCTGCCCAGCAGATCCACATGTATGATTGCCTTAGGCCACTTGTCTTTCCACACAGAGCTGATATCTGAATGTGCTGCCCAGGCTCTGCCCTTAGGGGGTTCCTCTGATTGCTGTCTTTCAAGATCGAGCCATCATGCAGCCGTTTCCTTCAGCTGCCACTTCTGTCCTAAGCCAGCCTGTCTATGAGTCACATTTGGCTATTTTCCCCTTTGTCACTTGGTCATGAGGGGCCCACCTGCTGTGGCAGTTGTTGTTTGCTGGGAAGAGGCTGGTACAGCAGAGATGGCTGCCAGGGTGGTCTGACTTGCCTGCTTCTGTAGCTCACTCATGCCCGGCAGCCCCACTCATGCTGATCCCAGATGCCCCTGTCCATCCGAATATGGGTTTCTGTCAGCCCACCTGGCCTGGTAACTTGGTGGGTTTCCACTGCTGACCACATGCTCACTTTATGGTCTACAAACAGGCACTTCGTGGTGCAGCAGCAGTTTATGCATGTGAGATTCTTGGCTGTGTGTGCACGCCCTCACTCCAGAACCCCACGAATCCACATCATGGTTCTCCTTTTCTGCCTTGCCATAAGCTCTGCACAGTGTCTTTCCCCACCCCAGATACTTGGAACATCACAGGATTTGCCAGGTTGTACCCATGACTCGGAGAATGAGACAGACCCCAAACCTCTGCCCTACTGGAGCATGTATTTCCACCGGGCACCTGTGAAACAGGTCTTTAAGGCCTTTGAATGGGCCTTTAAGGCTGTTTCCACTGCTGCGAGACTCCTCCACTTTCATGGAATGGTCTCCCACAACGGGTCTGAAGTTCAGAGCAGGAAACCAGTCCCTGGGCTCTTGCACTTTTTCGTTGAATGGTCTCCTGGGCAGCACAGAGCAAACTCTTGATTTATTCCCAAGCTTACAAAGTTCTCTTCTAGTGTCTACACATGTGTATACCCAAATCTCGGCGCTTAGCCTCCTGCTGAACTTCACCAAACTGTGTCTCAATTTTACTCAAGAGTAAAATCACCATGTAGAGAACTCTTTTGTTAAACCACCGCTAGAAATTATCCACTGTGTTTGTTTGCATGCACGAGTACTGTACATGGTGCAGTTGTATTGGAATGTAATACCAGGGGAAAGTTGGTTTTCACTTACTTTCTGACAAATAAGCACTTAGTGCTTATTATATGCCAGGCCCAGGGCTGGATTGTGGACCCAGGTATGAGAAAGATAGCCCCCAGTCCTTTTTCTTACAGAGCTTAGGTCCTGTCTCTCTTGCAGAATTACCACGTTTTACTCTTTATCACTAAGAAGACCACCACCATTTATTGTGCCAGCCCCATAGTAAGTACTCAGTATACGTTATCTCATTTATGCCCCGCCTGCTCCTAGAGAGATGCAGGTTTTCTCTCATGACCCTGGAGGCTCAGGGAAGTGCAGGCTTGTCCATGGGCATGCAGCTATTGATGGGGATCTGGGAGTGGGACCAGCTGTGTCTGACTCCGAGGTCTCTGTTCCTGATCCCTCACTCATATACCTCCCAACATGAGAGCTTCTTGGTGATTTTTTTCCCCCTTTTCAGTTTAGCTGGCAGGAAACTCAGTGCCAGGCTTCAGGTTTAATTAGGTTTCTAACCCGAAGTTAGAACTCTTGGCTTCCACCTTCTTCTATATGTTTCAGATATATATTTTTATTGTTTGCTCTTGTATCTTTTATTGTAGGCAATCTCATGCTGTGTTACTGCATTTAAAATACGGCTGTTATTTTTTTTTAAACTGTTGATTTTCAGATGTTTTTCATAGAATCTAGAGTTTATTTAGTCAGAAAGTCATGATTTTCAGTTATTAACTGCTATATATTACACGTTATCATTTCAGGTATTCCAAAATAACACTCAAGTTTTGTTTCAGTGTATTCCTTTAAATTTCTCATGCCTGCTTATGCCATAGTCCATCTTGCCATCTGGCAGGTACTCGCTGCCACCCCTGCCATGTGCTTCTCATGTGACTCTGGGGGCATAGCTGGACTGCTTGGGCAGCTCTCTGACCAATACTGGTGGCTTCTATATGGGCAGAAATGAGGTGAAGAACATGTCCTTCCCTCCGTAAGTTTGTGGTCAACTTCAGGGAGCTCAGGCGGTTGTACTTGAAATAGGTGAACATCTAAGAACAATGAAATATTTACTGAAGCACCCATGGCAGTGAAAATCTGAGGAGAGAGCCACTGGTATGGCCTGGTGCTGCCAAAAAAGATTTCAGGAAGTAGAAGGATGGGTGGAATTTGGATGGGTGGAGAGGGTAGGGCACATCATTCCAGAGGAGAGGATCATCAAGAGTGAGGCATGGAGGTACTAATGAGACCCTAAAAAGGAAAGGCCTCCAGGATGAGATGTTGGCAGATGTGTTGTGAGAAATAGTAACTGATAATGGAGGGAGGTGTTTTAAGCCTGACAGTAGATTTGGGCTTGGACATTGGCTGTGAAAAATGGTTTATTCAGTAACAAATATAGGACAGTTATCTCAGAAAATGTGATTTTATTGCACTGTGTAAAATGGACGGGGGAAAGGAGAAACCACAGAGGAGACAAACAGAAGGAGGTTTCTAAAACCCAGCTCTCAGAGGAGTGTCTTGGCTGGACTGATGCTGCTCTCTGGATTGAGCTCTCCTTCCTCTGTTCACTCCCTAAATAGGTTGTTTCCTAAGACTTGGTTCTCCACCTGCTGAGCTTTTCATGCTGGACACCCAGGGGGACCCACTCAGTCCCTGTCCTCACCGCTTTGTTGAGCTCATGGCTCCCATGAGTTCCCACGAGTCTCTCAAGATCTA